GTTTCATAGGTAGTACATGGGAATAGGAGTCAGTGTGGTGTAATGGTTCGAGTGCTGGACTACCACTCTGGAGACCTGGGTTTGATTCCCCACTATGCCATGAAACCCACTGGGTGAACTTGGACAAGTCACACACTCTCAGCTTCAGGGGAAGGTAATGACAAACCGCCTCTGAGCGAATCTTGCCAAGAAAACCCCATGATCACCACAAGTCAGGAACAATTTGAAGGCACACAACATACACATATAACCTCTAAGTTAAGGAACTTGGTTCTCCTTTAGATAAATCTTCAAGGGTACACACACACTCTCTCTCTCATTGTGCAGATTTGCTAAAGAAGCCATGCCCAAACAACACATCAACTTTGGCTGCGTCTGTATTGCAGAAATTTATTAAAGCAGTTTGACACTGCTTTAACTGCCCTGGCTCAAGACTATGGAATTCTGGAATTTGCAGTTTTGTGAGATATTTAGCCTTTTCTGTCAGTGAGCTCTGTCTGGTACCATAAAGCAAACTGCAGATCCTAGGAGTCCATAGGATGGAGCCATGGCAGTTAAAGCGGTGTCAAACTGCATTATTTCTGCAGTGAAGATTCAGGCTGCATCCATACTGTAGAACTGGCTTCCTTCTCCTTCTCCCCTCGTCCTCCTCCTTCACCTGGCTTCATTCTCCTTCTCTTTCTCCCTCCTACTCCTCCTTCTCTACCCGGCGCATAAGATGACCCCTGACTTTTGAGACCCTTTTCCAGAGTTAAAAAATCGTCTTATACGCCGGAAAATATGGTAGTGTATTCCAAGATGTAATCTGGCAAACCAGCTGCAGCCCAGTCAGCTTTGTGAACTATTTGGGATCCTGTTCAGTAGGCCTTGTGGTGCTGGTTCTATCTGTGGCTTGAAATGAACCTTTCTGCAACCGAGAGATCTATTGTGGATCAACTGGCTAGAGAGGCAAGGGATCTGTTTCTGACTTATGGAGCCCCTAAGGTGAACCTATCATGAGGTTTCCTTGGCAAGTTTGTTCAGAGAGGTTTGCAACTGCTCACTAACACTAAATATTAATAGAAGAGAGGAAACTTGTAACCTAAATATTCTGATGCTCATTAAACTTTTTCTCTTCATTTATATAACATTTATATAACATCTTATCAAAGAGTTATCATGCAGCAGGGGTAGTGGTGAGAACAACAGATTTAGATGAAATGTTCCTTACCGCAAAATTAGTAGATGATATCTCCATTGATAAGTAATGTGTTACTCATACTCCATTTTTCTGAAGTTTACAATAGAATAAACACAGACAACCAAATCCAGGGGTCACAGCAAGGCAATGATCCTGTGGCCTTATTTCTGAGATATTGTTGATATTAATACAAATGACTATGTTCATTTAGTGAGTATAGAATTGACGAAATCCAGCTTTTCCATTTCAAGCCCTTGAAACACTCATGAGATGCACCATTGTTTTCATTGGTCACTATGAAGGAGCAGTTCCTGTTTTTCTTTTATGCATACCCTTTTTCGTGCTCCCACAGTTACAATAAATTCAAGAGACAAAATAGGGAGCTATGCCATAGCTGCTATGGGAATGTGAAAATGACCTTTGCTTGTTGGCATTTGTGCAAGTCAGTAAGAGATCTTTTCCCTTAGGAAAAAAGGGGAGAAATAACTCTAGTGCGGAGGGAGGGAGCATAACTAAATCCCCCCCCAAAAAAACAAAACAAAACAAAACACAGTCATTAGGACATTTTAAATATTTTTTCCAGGTCTGTATGTTTCAAACAAAACATTTATGGCATTATGAGATAATAATAGCATCTTGGATTGGAGATCAAATGTTACAAGATGCCAGTGAAATTTAGCTCTGTTTATATTACTTATTCCTACTTCCTGGCTGTGAGGCAGACTGCTTCATTTTACAGCAAGGACAGACTCTGAGCAGTACTTAAGGACAGAGCAAAGAGACCAGATGTGGGCAGACTTCATACTTTGCTGTTTCTTTTAATAGATCCCTGAGATCTTCCAACCAGAGCCTAGTGCAAAACAAACAAACAAGCAAACACAACACTACCATTAAAGACTTCTCAAGGCATTATTTTAAATTCCATATGTGAATGGCTCACAGTCTTGCCACCCTAGTATTCCTTTGGACTTGCCTTAGGCTTTCTTCATTTCTGCAATATTATTATGGGTGGAGAATTGTTTTTTTCTGCCATAGTTAAAAAACTGGGAGTCATAAATCCACTGGAGATCACAGGGAGCTCTATGAGCAGAGTCCAATCTACTTTTTGCTCATCCCCAACACACAGCAAATTCCTTGAGTCTAGCACCAGGATCATAATTATGTGAATGATATTCATAAGATCAAAATAGCCTTAGCCTTCTCACAAGATACTGTGTATGAAAAGCCCTCTTGCTTCCACCATGATATCAGTCCAAGGCAGGGGTCGGCAACTTTTTTTGCCAACGGGCCGGGAGTGTGCGTGTGGGGAAATGGTGCTGGGGGCTGATGCGCGTGTGCGCTTGCGAGTGCGCGCGTTTGCCCCCTGTGCGTGCACTGCCATTTTGAAAAAAATGGCGGCTGCCCCCTGTGTCGCGTGCGCATGTGCACGGCGGCAGGACCCCCCAGGAGGGCTCCCTCGGCCGTGCCCCCCGAGGCCTTTGGAGAGGCCCCTGAGACCACCAGGGGGTCCCCCAGGAGGCTTCCCTCATCAGTGTTGGGCCTCCGAGAGGCCCGGCACCATTTTGGAATCCAAAATGGTGCCCCGGAGGAGCCTTGTGGTCATGAAAGGCGGTGGCAGTGGCGCCATGCTGGCAGTGGCAGGACCAGGCAGGGACCGGTCCGAAGGCCTCTGCGGGCCGCATCCGGCCCATGGGCCCTGGGTTGCCGACCCCTGGTCCAAAGACCTAGGGGTCTCTAGGTTGCAATCAAGAGGAGAGATAGACCATCATCTTTTTTTGAAGTTCAGTCCACCTGTTTTAAGTCTAGTTTAGCATTCAGAGAACAAATAGTATAAACCAGTTAATCATATAAAATCTGTTAGTGATATGTCAACAGACCACCACTAAAAACTAAAGCTGTACAGGGCAAATTCATACAGTTAACAGGAAATTCAAAATGATAGAGGCAGACTTTACTCACATTTGGTCATGTTTTAAGAGCAATTGGGAAATGTGAGATGAAGTTCCTAGGACAGTTGTCTCCGAGGTTGCAGCTTCCAGATTTGCTGGACTACATCTCTCTTCACAATCCAGCAAGCCCTGGGAGGGAGAAAACGGTGCTCTCGCGGGAAGTGGCCACAGGGTTTACAAGCAGTCTTAATCTTAGAAAAGAGACCAAAGCTGAGGAGGGGAGGTAGAGAAGGCAAAGTCAGAAGATTCCTATTGTCCCTAAAGAAGCCAAATAGAGCAAGCAAGATCAGTAGGAGTCCCTTCTCCTCACAGTTCTCAGACTAAAGAAGCAACTGTCTCAATCTGGGGAATGAGGCCTATTTCATCTCCATCAAAATGTAAGTTAGCAAATGCGATGAAAGAAGTTACCAGGCTACTGACCTCAAAAGATGGCCAAAAGAGAGGTGGGCATTATGTGTGAGGTCAACTTCAATGTACTAGCAGAAACCAACAAAGACCTGGAGCAATTACTGAAGAAGGTCAAGGACGAAAGTGACAAGGTAAGCTTAATGTTGAACATTAAGAAAACACAATAATGATTACAGAAGATCTACAAAATTCCATCCTAGATAATGGGAAAATTTAAATAGTCAAAGAGTTCCCATACCTTGGATCATACACTGAACATAACATAGACTGCAGTCAAGAAATTAGAACAAGGCTAGGATTGAGAAGGGCAACAATGAAAGAACTGGATAAGAGCCAAAAGTGTAAAGATATAACTCTGATCACTACATTGAGGATGGTCCAAGCCATCATATTCCCATCACCATATATGAATGTGAGGACTGGATTGTGAAGAAAGCTGATAGAAAATGAACTGATTTGAGATGTGGTGCTGGAAACAGTGCTGAGGATATCATGGATGGCCAAGAAGACAAATGGGTTCTAGAATAGATCAAGCCCAAACTTCCCTTGGAAGCCATGATGACTAAATTTAGGTTGTTGTACTTTGACCACATCAGGAGAAAGCATGAATTATTGGGAAAAGACAATAATGTTAGGAAAGGTAGAGGGCAATAGAAAGAGGGAGACGACATGCCAGATGGATGGACTCAATCAGAGAGGCTACAGGCCTGAACCTACACAACCTAAGCAGAGCAGTAGAGCACTGAAAGTCTTGGAGATGTCTCATCCATAGATTAGAGGTTGACTTGTGGGTAGTTAACAGCAGCAACACTTCAGTTCTACCAGAAATGATGATATGATCAACATATACTGTCACTGGCTAACTGTTCATTAGTACTGGTAAGGCTGTTAGGTTATTTAAAAAATGTACACCTCTAAGATGAAAAGTTTTCATAAATTGGATAGTAACTATTCCAACAATGGATTGGATCTTCAGATGTCTTTCTACTAGAGCAGGGATAGGCAACCTAAGGCCCAGGGGCCGGATGTGGCCCCCCGAGG